ATTCTATTCATATAATTCATATATCTTTAAGTATAATAAAATTGGCATGTTTATTTTTAATAAGAAAAAAAAAAGAAAAGAGACATAAATAAAAACATGAGTGAATAATAATAAAAACTTTTCTTGTATTCTTGGTTATTTTGTATTTGTACATACATTATTTTTTATTTGAATACCAAAATATTTTTTACGTATTAATATAATTGTAAACTAATTATTTTTAGGTGTTTATACAACATAAGAAAAAATTGACCAAGGAAGATAAATGTAATGATAAGTTATAAAATTGTTAATGTTGAAGATGCAAAATATAACGCAAATTAATTTTAAAATAAATTATTTAAAATAATGATAATTATTTTTTGCGGTGTAATAAACTTTAAAAAATAAATGATAACAAAGTTATAACAAAATTTATACAACTAGAAACATGTTATTTTGATATATTAAAACTGTTGAATCTCATGTTTATATTAATATATGTCTAAAATAATGACATCATATTATTTAAGAATTAAAATATTTTATGTTATATAATTATTTAATCAAATTTACTCTTTTGAAATACAGTTATTTAGATTTACTTAAAATATATATGTAATGAAGTAATTAAAAAAACAATCAATAATAATATATTTATTTTTTCAATGAAAATCTTGGTCAAAAGAATCAATGTTTGATAAGATAGTGTGAAGATTGAAGAGAAATTGATAATGAATTTATTTGGTTAGTCAATTGTGATTTTATATTAAATTCTAAATAAAAAATAAGTAAGAAAGGGAGAAAGAGAGGGATATATGGTGATGATAAGGATTAGAAAGTCAGTTATAATCATAATGAAGATGAAAAAGAATATAAGTGAGAGACTGAATATAAGTGAGATAGATTCTGAAATCATTTATTAATAATATGTCAAAGTGTTTAGAATATTTAACAAAATCTGGTGAAAATTTTGCAACCAAAAACAGATAGAAAGAGTTTTAAAATGAAATATTGAGGATCATATTAAGGACGAGGGTAAGAGAATGAATATAAGTGATTGTGAGAGAGTGAATGTAAGTTTGAGAGATTTTGAGATTATTTGATCAACTAAGAGAGAGAGAAAGAGAAAGAAAAAGAGAACGAGAGAGGTGTACAAAGACATACAAAAATAATCGAAAGAGAGATACATAAGAAACAAAACGAATGTGTGAAAAAATACAAGGAGAAAGGAAATGAGTAAAATAGAATAATATATTAAAAAAACATAGTATCTAAGTAAAAGAGAAAGAAAATTACAATATATTTATACATTTATATTATTTTTATTCATGTAATGTATAGATTATCTTAATGTCCGCACATGCGTGCGGGCCATCCACCTAGTATAAAATAATTGTCCTCGGAATTCCATCGGAATATTCCGAGGAAATTTTGACAAATACCTAGTTTCCGTCGGAATATTCTGATGAAACTACGACGAATATTAAATCCCTATCGAAATCCGAAAATTTATATTTCAGTGTCTGTCGCAATGAAAATTTTTGACGGATTTTTGACAAAAAGTAAAAATATTACAAATAATAATTGTACTTTAATGGATATAAAATTTCATTGGTTTTTCGTCGGAATTTTCCGACGACTTTTTTGTTGTCGGTATATCCTCGGAAATTTCCGATGAAATACCAACGAAACTCAAATTTTTCATAATCGTCGGTATTTCGTCAGAATTTTGTCAAAAAAAAAACTGACACTGTCGAAATTTGCCATGTTTTCTTGTAGTGTGCATCTCGTAGATTGAAATATTTGTTCACCATAACCTTATCAGTTTGAATTTTCAAAATATACATAATATCCACTTAAAGAATGTATATTAGATCCACCGGTTCAGAAATTAAGAGATCATATAAAGGAACAACTAACCCGTACATTATATACATCATATCCCTGGTTTGTCACTAGAGATTTAGATGAAATAACGTGTAATAATGAGAGACAAGAAGATCCTTTGAAACATGCATAGCCTGGGTTATGTAGATTAGTTGTTTAGCAATATAATAGAAAATTTTGGTCAAATGGAATTTCTTAACCTGAGAATTACGTTTTTCTATAGTGTGAAGATTGATAAAATTATTAAGTCTCATTTAGACCAAGCATAATGGAACGAGAAGTGTACTTTCTTTCATTATTCTTATGATGAGTATTTAGGTGTGGGCATGGCAAATTATATACCGGATAAATTTCAAAAAGTTAGAGATAATTTGGTTAGATAAAACATTGGAGTAAGACTAACCTACAATATGAAAACAAAAAAAAAAAATTCCAGAGGGGTTTGGAAGAAAAACTGATACAAAAACACATGAAAATATAAAGGAAGTAACAAGGATATTAAAAATCTTATGAAGATAGTTAACTCTTTTCTGAACAAAAAAAAAAAAGAATTTTGTTGCATACATGAAGAGAGTAATTGGGTAACCTTCATAACCATAATGAAATAAATTGTTTCAATATATTATTCAAGTTGTCATTTACATCAGATTTAAAAGATTTTCTAAAATAAGTGCAAATTATATTACATATGTAAATTGTCATTTACATAATAGGCACACATCGACTAGATGATATGATGATATAATTTTCTGAAAGTTTTGGTTCATTATTAAGAAATATATGGTCAACAATTTTCTCATGAAAAGAAAAACATATTACATCTTTGCTTAATTCCTAACGCTTAGGCCGAGTCATATGTCAGAACTATGACCAGATAGTTTACGTAATGTTGATAAAAATAATTTCAAAGGTATTGTGTCAAAGAATTAAACATTTTTATATAGTATGGAATTCATCTAATCTCAGATAATAATATAATAACTCAAGAGATGTTTCATGGGCTTTGGACAAACAATTAATGTTAAGGAAAAAAATTAGCTATCAAAACATATAGAATAAGACTTATGATCGGATATAATGACTTTTTTTAGAGAAGCATGATTTTAAATAGAGAGATTTATGGGTTACTTGGATGATGAGGTTCCAAAGAGAGGATTACGACACAAGGCCTCTATCACCATATCTTTTTTCTACTTTGCATTAAATCTCTTACCAAAAAATATACATAAAAAGGAGCGGAAAAAAACCTAACATGTCTAAAAATCGCAAGGGTAAAGCTTATTTTCTCATCTACTCCTTTCAACGGACAACTTATTCATAAGCTTGTTTTCTCATCTACTCGTTTCAACAGACAACTTATTCAACGTGTTGGGTTAATAAATCAGTTTCTCATAATTATGTATACAATTATTCAAAAAAATTACTCACAGTTACTACTATTACCATTCATTGGGGTGGGAGAGGTATTAAGAACCTATTTCGATATTCTGGAGATTTTAGGTTAGACAAAGACCTAAATATTTGTTTAATCAATGAACAAATTACTAGTAGAGTCAATGAGTGGACTATAAGATTTCTCACAAAAAGTGAAAAGGAAATACTCATTTACCAGTAGCATCAACATTACAACCACATGTATTGTCTTCTTTTAGATTACCAAAAACAATGACCAGAAATTAAAAGTGCGATAATACAATTTTAATGGAGTAGTCGTGGAAATAATAAAAAAAAAATTGTTGGTTTTTATGGGATAAATGTGAAGGGATATGAAAGATGGTGGATAGCTTTTTGAGATTTACAAGATTTTAATATCGCTCTGTTAGAAAAACAAATTTTGAGGTTGATATATAAATCAAAGTCTTTACTTGCAAAAGTTATTTAAAAGAAGATATTATTGGAATTCTGATCCTTTGGATATAATTAGTAAAATCATACTCACTTTCAATTCGAGACAAATATTATTTTAGTACGATCTCTGCTTATACATTTGAATGAAATGATTTTTAGATCTCCGCTTTCTGCTCGAGATGCGCAATGTCAAAACATCAAATTCCAATATAATTTGCTAACAGAGGAACATGTGATGATACCTAGAATATAGATTTCCTTAATGTATGCATCTGAATGATATGAAAATTATTAAAAGCATTGCACTCATTTCTCTAAAAAGGATACATATGGATGAAATTTTACAGCATCTAAGACGTATACAGTAAAATCAAGATATAAAACTGACAATTATATCAAAGTTTGGACATAAAAAAGGCATGTTATGGTTCATACTAAACAATTGTTGGCATTCTCATAGAAATTATAGAGTACTTTAAAGGTGAAACACCTCGCATAGCAAAGACTATCTGGATGTCTACTTGTTACAAAAACCTACAACGCATGTAGTTAAATGCACCTGATGTTAGTCTATGTGGAATGGAGGAAGATACAATAAATCATGTCTTTTTTTGAATGTCCGCCGTGATTCAAACATGATATATTTCTAATATTTCTTCTTATGCAGAGTTTTTTTTTTAATATACTTGGTTTATACAAATATGGGTTAACTGTTCTGAAGATTATCAAGAGATCATAAATACTACAAGTTCAACCGATAAAATAGAGTCATATATAGATTAACTTTACCAAAACACATCATTTTGCTCTTTATATATCTAATCTAACTAATATTAAAAGGCCGATATAAGCATCAGTGGGTGTGTCCACGTCGACTATTATAATCGACCAATAAGAGTGCGCTTCTTTTCCACGTCGGCTGCTGCGTTATTCATTTGGGTTATTCATTTGGGCTTTGCTTCTTACCGGCCCGGCGTCTTCGATATTTGGTGAGCCCGTGAAGCCCATCCTAAGCCGCGACGTCGTTTCTGTTAGCGAAGCCCTAATTTGATAGAACCTCATCTCAAACCCTTGCTCTTCCTCATCTTCCTCATCTTTCTTCGTTTCAATATGTTCAATCAAGACCAAGAATTCAATCCCCTCTCCTTCACTCTCTTTAATCTGATTAATGGGTTCTTTTCACCTCCCCCATCTGAGATTCTATATAAATCTCATTTCTGTGTTCTCTTTCCCATCAAAACCAGCTATTATTCCAGCAAAAATTCTCTCGATTCTATTTTCCGATGTCGTTACCCGGTGCCTCCGTTTCAGTGAAGACCAAAGGCGAGTCCGATGTCTCCTCCGCTCCTGTCAAAACCGGCGCTCAATCCGTTGTCTCCTCTGCCGATCTCAGCTCGATGAAATCAAAAGGCGTAGCGGCTGGATCCTCGAGTCCGATCAAGCCAATTGTAAAAACTGGTGCCTCTTCTGGCCTCAGCATCGGTGGCAGGGGAAAAGCTATTGCCTCCTCCGGCGCTAGAGGGAAGGCTATCGTCTCCGACGACGTTGGTGAGGTGCTTACCTTCAGAAACGTGACTCTCGGGCCCCATGAAGGCGAACTACGGTTTCGGTTGATCCACTTTTGGGAGGCTTGGAACGTCAAGACGAAGTTGTTAATGGGCCTCGAGATGCTTATGATCGATGAAGAGGTAACCCATATCATTTAACCAGGATTAGCTTAGCATGTTATATTGATAGTTGTTATTACTTAAAAAAAACATAATAGATTGATTAGATTAGTTGATTGGTTGTTGTGAGCACAAAATATATAAACTGATATCTTCTTGACATGAAAAGTTTAGGAATTGGTTTAGTATGATTGCTATGATATCATACTGAGAGTTAAGACTACTTTAACAACTTAATTGTTTGGTTAGATTAGATAATAGGTTGTTGTGAGCAGCATGATAATAATTTTTCCCCTTCCTTTCGTGTTAAATATCTTAATTTTTCTTTTGAATTTCATCTAAAGATATCCTGCAAACTCTCTTATTTTCTCTCTCTTAAACACAGGAAAATGCTATCCAGGGCTTCATTCCCTGTGGAAGGATTAACACTTATTTGCGTCACATGAAGCCTGGTGCCACTTATAGACTCAACAAGTTTTTCGGATCAAAGAGCAAGACTGTTTATCGAGTAGCTGAGTCCGATGTCACTATTAGCTTCTCTTGGAACTCTGTCCTCTCTGTTTTCGAGGACAGTTCCATCCATTTCCCTGAGGATCGTTTCCAGCTCCAAGGATGCAAGGAGTTTGTAGCTGCTTGCGACTCGAAAGGTGATCTTTATGGTAAGTTCCCACCATCGTTACACCCATCACCGTTTGTATTTGATAATAGTTTAGTCTAATCTTATATATTATGTTATCATCTGACTGAATATATTATGGATTGTTTAGGCTTTATTGCTAGGTTTAATCTATATAAAAATTTATGTTGCTTTCTTTTCACGCAGATTATGTTGGACACATCAAGCTTGTGAATGGGCAGGTTCCCAATGACAGTATCCTGCTTGATGAGGTGCAGATAGCTGCATCCCGCCGAGTTGAGCTTCATGTTCAAACGCATGAGTGAGTTAACCTCTTTCTTCTTCCTTAATCAAGTATTGTTTTTCTTACCACACGGGTTTGTGATGTTGCAGTGATCCGGTTCTTAAGTTGTACCTGTGGGACAAGGCTGCCCTGGAGTTCGTTGAAAAGTTTAAGGCCTCTGGATGCAGTGCACGTGTTATCTTGGTCACGACCTTAAACCCAAAACGTTTTGGAGGTTTGTATTACCAACTTTGATTGTTTTTTAGATGTTAAATAGGGTTGAGATCATCTCTGTTTTGGTTATGTTTGAGTATGTATAAGTTTTGGTGATGCCGAGTTAGTGAAAGATGGCTATATGGGATCTGAATCAATGATGCTGGTAGAACTGTTTTTTTTTTAAACTGAATTTGGGGTTCATTAGCTACGAAATATTTTAAAAATGTATATTTTTCTTCATTTCATTACGTGGTAACTTAGCTTCTGTATCATGTTATTGATTCTGTTATAGACGTCGTATCTGTGTCTTCTACGGCGCCTTCTCGAGTATTTATGGATAGTGATAACGAGGAAACCCAGTATTACCTCAGTTGGTAAGGTTTGATGTTTCATGTATTGAAATACAAGTTCAATTATGAAGCAGGCATCCGCTAAGGTAATATAGACTTATAGTCTGGTTCTTTCATTAGTATAATTTAAGTTTATCATTAAATTTTATACTTTTTCAGGTTTCTTGGTTTGAGTGCACAGCAACTATTGATGATGTTGTGCACGGTTTCGGGTGGTACTATATAGGCTGTGGAGATTGCCATACTAAGAGGCAACCAAAGGGCCTACAACACTTATGTGTAAGACGTGTGGGAAGAGTGAGATTGTTGGTGTTCCTCAGTAAGTAGTTTGTATCTAGATATACTCATTCGTTTGCTGCAATGGTTATTAATTATTCATTGTTACAGGTACCTGTCCAAGATCTCTGTCTATGATCACAAAGACCAAGCCATTTTTGTTCTCCTTGGTGATTCTGGCGAGGAGTTGTTTGGGAAGAAAGCTTCTGAGTTGGTTGAGACATATTACCAGGTTTTTCCGTCTCGACTTTATTTTTATGTGATTTTTAAACGTACGCTTGCTAAAATTGAAGATCTATTCTGAGAATGTGAATATATTTTAGGCCAATGAAAGCGTAGGAGAGGATCATATAGTTCCAGTCCCTCAGGCTATGATTGATTCCATTGGTCAGAACCGCAAGTTCATTGTGAAGGTATCATCTCACAATCTGATTGGGAAGACCCAGGCGCTAACTGTGACAAAAGTGCTCCCTCTTGAAGCACCAGAGGCCAACGCCAACGTCGGAGTGAACGTTGATGATGAACCTGATAATGAAGGTGAGGGTCATGCAGATGAGCCGGTGAAGAGGGGTCATGATGGAATTGAGTTAGATGGTGGAAAGCGTGCCAGATGTGGCTAATGAAATCTTATAACTGATTTCTCTTTTATTTTATCACTATGCATTGTTTTCCCCTGTTTCTGGATTTTGTTTGGTTTGTTTCTCTGTTTCTGGATTTTCTTATGCATCATTATAAGAACCTTTGTTATAAACTATGTTGGTTATAACATCTATTATGATTCCCTTTATGTTATATGTTAGTGTAGATTAAAATCGATACTGCCTGTCTATATTATATCTATATATATATATATATATATATATATATATATATATATATATATATATATATATATATGTATATGAGAATTTGGAAAAAGTTAAGGGATGATCATTATGCTTTCTTAAGCAGAAGAGGGAGTGTTCGTTTATGTTAGTGAATACATGCACGTCAAAATGCTCTAAACACACAACTTTCTCTCCCATAATGATACTCTTTACTTTCCGTCTGAAGAAAGAGCTATCTCTCTCATGCCAAGCCCTAAAGGACAACAAGCAAGAGTAAGGCTTAAACAAAGTTTAATGCATAATTTGCTTTTTATTGGGTAAGACATTTATGTGTTTTTGTTATCTACATGTTGAGGTTAGACTAAGGGAAGGAAGAGTAGTGAACATTCGCATGATTTAATTGCCTTGGATGCTGAGGTTTTAGATTCTCCCACCGTGCAACATCACCTCCTTTTTTTTTTTGGTGAAAGCAACATCACCTCCTTTTTTAATGTGCTACTAGCCCTCTTGGGGTTTGATCGACCATCATGGAAATATAATGTTAATTCAAGAATTGAAAACGGTGAGAGATCAAATGATCCAAATCAAGAACTGTGGGAAGTCAACATTTGAATAAGAATTTATGATAAAGTATATCCTAACTCATACCATCATCTCATTGAAAAATAAAAACATAACACACTAAAACTTTCAACATATCATAATTATTAGGGAAAAACCAGTTAACAAATAGAATTTATTTTGTATACTAACTTATTTTATAATCCACTAAATATAGATATATTTACTAAAAAAAACTATAAGAAAAAAAACAAAAGAAACAACCCGGGCGTAGCCCGGGGAACGGATCTAGTTAGATTAATTATTTAATAAATTGGTAAGTAATCTGATCTAAAGTGTCTAATTAACTGGCTGATTAATTGCTTTACCAATTTACTATATCGTACTAGCCGAAATTGTGGCAGTTGATTCCCAATGAGTAATTTGATAGAAACAAATATATTATTCTTCTCCATTTTGAGAAAATGTACTATTTTATACATATATATGTGCACTTTGTCCACTATTATCAGTTATTAAATATATTTTAGAATATATAATTGAATTATTTTTAAATAAAAAATAAAAAAGAAATACATAGATATCAAATAAAATAGGTGAATAATCTTATAAAGTATATAAGCAGTCGTAGATTCTAAGATATTATTAATAATAACGATATATATATATATATATGTGATATACTTAGAATAAATTAACTTACATGAATGTAATATTACATGATTCGTAATATCAAAAAGGTATCTTTTTCAGTAATTCGTGGTCTTCTTAATCTTTTTTTTTCTCTACTAGTTTGTAAGGTTTAAATTTACTTAACTCTTTCTTTTTTCTTTATCGTTTCTCTTTTAGATTATGCTAATTTGAGTTAGGTGTTGTTTATTCAATTTCTACATTGTTTGGCTACTATTTTATTTTGTAATATTGATATAGAATAAAAATGTACAAAATCTTAATTTTTGTTGTTCTATTCAGTCGGATCCTTTTTTTTTGTTTAATCAGATTCCTCTTTCCCGTTTTATCGAATAATTAATTCTGATTTTTGTCAAATTTCAATTTCTGGCTTGTCCGGACTAAACCTTCTTACTTGTTCAGTCTCAGTTTGAGAATATTCCAATGGTTATATACTGTTCCTTTCCTTTCATCATCTTTGCTTACTTGTTTCCATTTGATTATAAATCTCATGAATGTTATTTATGGCCAATAAATTAGGATTTGAATGGAGTATTTCAATGGTTGTGAATAAATCAAGAAGATAAGAGAGCCTTGGTAAGTGTTAGACTAGATTAAGAAGATTTGGGTTCAACTGGTTTCAGAGGTGGACGTCTCAACACATGATCTATATCTCCATCCTTCGAGCTCTCTGGTGATTAACAAAGTTAGTGTTTAGGGATTCCAGTCATAAGCATAGGCAATTTGCTATAGAGGATGATGAGTATTCAAATAAGAATTTAGTGATTTTTATATTTTTATAAATATAGATCACCAACAAAATATCGACCAAATCATACGTCAACAAGGACCAACGGTCCTAATCAATACATAAGCACTTCACCTATGTGAAAACATATATCATCTAATACAAAAAATCAAATTTAATACATGAAATTTTAAAATCTGGTTTTAGCATACATTGGATTAATTTTTGTTAGTCAAACATTACAAGGGATAAAATGTTTATACTGCGTTGATTGCATAGAATCCCTTATATATTAATCCTGAAACATTCATAAATGCACAACCTTGGAGACCATGCTTACGTGTCAAGCTCACAGAGCTTCTGGCCTTAAGTTTTTAATAGACCAACTTTGCTAGGAATGAAATAATGTAACATTTAATTTCTTGCATTTAGGACTATAATATATAGACATTTTGTAAGGGACCAACTCTGCTAGGTATAAAACAATATATTTTATTTCCTTAAATAAAAGCTACGAAATTACCTAATATGATTATCATATATATGTAATTAATGATTATGAATAATACATATTTCTGTGTCCTCTCTCTTTTGTGTTTAATTTTAAATTATTAAAATAAATTAAACAATCACATTAAATGTATAATAAAAATTATTTTTTTTTCTTATAGGTTATATTTTTAATTTTTAAAACGACCAGAAATAACTAAAAATAGTAAAATCCCTCATTGAAAATTTTATGATCAATGGTTTAACTTTGTTTTTCTTACAAACAAGATACAAATTATCATAAATCGTACCAATATGAAGTATCATTAGTAGATATTCATATTATAAATATGTTAATTTAAAAATTTCAGTGAAAAGGTTTGAGGTTAGTAGATACAACTTATAGTATTCAAAAGATTTTTGTAGTTTGTTTTCTTTGTTTTTTTAATATCTTTTTGTTTGTTTAGATAGTTTAACTAATTTTAAATTAGATTTATTAATAGTTTAAATATTTTGATTTTTTTGCCAACTTTTCATGTTTAAAAAATATTTTTTGGGATAATTTCAGATATTGGTTACAATCCAATCCAAACTGAATTGAAAAGATCAAATCGAATCCAATCCGATAATTAGTAAAATTCAAATAGGATTTATGAGAATAATACCAAAATCTGAAAATATGTCTCAGTCAAACCAAAACCGACGAAGTCTCAAACGTCCATACCTATGATAATTTAAGATACCAACATTTGTATTCATCATTTTATAATCGATAAATATTGTAGTATTGCAAACTGTTAAAAACCATTTAATAAATAAATATTAGTATAAAAATTTCAATCTGAAAATATGTCTCAATCAAACCAAAACCGACGAAGTCTCAAACGTCTCGACCTATGATAATTTAAGATACCAACATTTGTATTCATCATTTGATAATCGATAAATACTATAGTATTTCAAAATGTTAAAAACCATTTAATAAATAAATATTAGTATAAAAATTTCACCCCGCACATTCGCGCGGGTTATCATCTAGTTTTATTGTATTACATGGTAATTGAATTGTATAATATGATAATTGGACTAAGAAAAATAAATTATTTAAGCGAAACGATGTCGTTCTTGTGTTATCCCTTGATTAGTTTTTTTCGAAATTTTGTTCTTTTATTAGTTCATTTGCGTGTGTAGTTTGTGTCATAGAATTTTAATAGAAGTATAACTGATTACCTAAATGATTTATTTTTCTCAGTCCAATTACCACATCACACAGTTAAATTGCCTCGTAATACAATAAATACATGTAACCAACTCGTCACAAAAAATTGTCTTCTATAATGTTTGACTAACCAAATTTAGGTTAATGTATGTTAAAACCAGATTACGAAAGTTCATGTTTTGAGTTTAATTTTTTTATAAGTTGATGTGTGTTTTCGCACATATTAAATATTTATGTATTAGTCGAAACTGTTGGTCCATGTAGGATTTAGTCGATTTATGGTGACTTTATATTAATAAAAATACATGTAATAATCCGTTAAGAACTGCTCATTTTCCATAACATTTGACTAATGTAAATTAGGTCAATGTATTGAATTTGAATTTTGTATTAGTTGTTGTATGTTTTTGTACATGTGAAGTGTTTTTTTGTTGGGACCGCTGGTTCCTGTTGATGCAGGAATCGGCATCTGATGACTTGTTCTATCCATCTTTGTCTTTTTTTTACACTGGTTAATTATACAATAGAAACTAGGATAAATATTACATAGAATATGTTAATTGACAATTCTACATGCCTTATGCGGGATTCACGTCTGACCGCATCACTCTAAGCGTCCTATGAGATCAATTTCTGATGGTATTCCTTGCGCTATGCTGAAGATCTCTTGTAAACATTTTCTCTAATAATCTACATAATTGAAATCTAGACCTCTTAGTATAAAAGCATTAATGAAACCTTGGTTAAACCACTAGACCAAATGAACTTCCACAACTATCTTTGCCCTTATCCTATAATTTAAAAATTGTAAATGGGTTTAGAGTAAAATTGGCTCATTTAGTGCTTTGTTGTTATTATTAATGGACATTTTATATATATGAAAATTGGCTAACAGAGAAAAATGATACAATAATGTAATTTTTTTAACTGCAACTTTTATTAATGTTGTGAAAATGTAAGATCTTCATGAAGAAGTTCAGTAATACAATGAGGAACATAGTAATGAAATTTAAACGTGGAGCCTTGTAGTCTTGATCTAGCTAGCATATCCGCAACTTTATTAGCATCCCTCTTTATCCATTAGAATTTAACTTCTTCAAATTTCTGGCACAGCCACTTGATCTCTCTAGTCCAATTATGCGTTCCAAAATGCAATTCCCATTCTTCAAAATATCAATAGCTTTTTGACAGTTTTAGTGAAGCCCAAACTCCGTCTGTGTTGTATAGCCATTTGAATTGCCTACATTTCACTTTCCAAAGGGCATTGATCTTTACTTCCCATTGCTTGGGTCGCTACTCTATATATTCCATTATCATCTTGAAATACCCATTCTGCCTGACTTGGTAAGAGATTATTAGAAAAGGATCCATCAACGTTACATTTTATCCAATTCTTAGGTGGTCTGATCTAGTGATGCTGTCTCCGAGGTAAAGACCAAGAGTATAAAGCCGACCTCAGTCTCACATTGTTTTCATCTGCTTGTTTCTATTCCTTAGCATCATTCTTGGCGTATGATAGGAGAGACTTCCAGTGAATAGTTTTTGTTGGAATATAAATACGTTCATATTCTTCCATAATCTCCATAAAATCCAGTAGGCTTGAAAATGAGTTGATCTTGTTGATGTACAGATCTGAATACATGCCATGATCTTCTCTTCCAAAGTAGAAGTAGGACTATTAATATTAGATTAGTTACACCTGAAGCTCTCATACGTGTTTAGCAAAATCACATCCAAAGAAAAGATGTTCCTCAGATTCTTTATCTACACAACATCGTCCGCATATACTATCTCTAGTAACATGTCTTTGTTTTAGGTTTGTACTCGTTGCTAGACTGTTAGAGAGTAGCCTCCATAGAAAATGTTCAAGCTTAGTCGGAGCTCGTGGTTTCCAAACCTTATGTTTGAACTCAATGTTTCCAGGCGTTTCCATTATTTGGAAGATGTGTTTCTAGCCAATACCCTGATTTGACCGTCTAGATCCCATCTTCGTTGTAGTGCCACCCTAGTAGATTTGATGATCTTTAGAACTTATCTGTAAGGTTAGGATCCTATCAACATCTTCATCTACTACATAATTCTGGAGTTTTGTTCATCTCACTTATTCCTTGATTGATCAAAGAAGTGATGAACCTTATCACCTTATATTCTTCCATTATGAGGCTGTGGTGGTCTAGGTGGATGATCATGAATCCAAGGATCATTCCACATATCAATGATTTCACTATATCCAACAATGAATCTCATACCTTTTGTTATAAGATCACGTCCATAGAGAATAGACTTCCAAGCATATGATGTCTTCTTCTTGAGTGTTGCCTTTAGTATATCCCCTTCTGGAAAGCATCTAGCTCTTGGGAGACAAGCCATCAGCCAATTTCGATGCTGCAATATTCTCCACACATGTTTGCTAAGCAGAGTTTGATTAAAATATTTCAAATCCCTGAAACCCAATCATCCTTCTCTCTTAGGAATGGTTAATCATTCCCAAGGAAACCAATGAAAACCCTTTTTGTAACTTGATCCCCACCAAAAATTAGCAAGTATGCCATTTATTTATTTTCAAAATTCCTTAGGTTGCCGTATAAATTCATAGAATATATGGGCATAGCTAATGCAATCGACTTCAATAATGTTTCTTTTCCACCTTGAGAAAGATGTCTTTGATATCAATTTTGTGTAGCTCCTCTGACCTTATCAATAATATACTGAAACATATCACTCTTCTTTGATCCAAATTGTTCTAGCAGACCCAGATACTTCCTAATACCCCCTTCTTTATTTATGCCAAGAACATTTATCAATCTAGTTCTGACTCCTGGGAGTACTCTATGTCCAAAGGTAATAGAAGATTTACTGAAGTTTATCGATTGGCCTGAAACGCTTTCATACAGTGCAAATATCCTCTTCAACCTCTCAGCTTATCTAATATTTTCTAACGTGAAGAACAAGGAATCATCTGAAAAACGGAGATTATTAACTGAAGGAGCTTGATTAGAAATTTTACCACCCAATAATGATATGTCCGCTTTAGCTTTATGCATCAAATGGGAGAGAACCTCAGAAAATAGTATGCAAAGATATGGAGAGAGGGGGTCTCCTTGTCTAAGACCTCTCTCTAGAGTGATATAACCCTCTGGAGAACCATTAATGAGTACTGAATAAGTAACTGTAGAGACACAAGACATAACCCATTGAATCCATCTTATATCAAATTCCATAGCTTTTATCGTCTCTTCCAAGAAACCTCATTCTAGTCTATCATAAGACTTTGTAATGTATGTTTTCACTGCCATATATAATGTGGTCTGTCTCTTTCTAGCCTTCAAACTATGGAAAATCTCATGTGCCACCACTATATTGTCGGATATCATCCTTCTTGGTATGAATGCATTTTGATTCTCAGAGATAATGTGGTCAAGATGTATCTTCAATTGGTTCACCAAGATCTTAGAAATGATCTTATAAGACACATTGCACCAGACAATTGGTTTGAACTCTTTCATATCAGTAGGTGGATATATATTTTGGTATCATACAGAGAGTAGTGTGGTTAATTTTAAAACCAAGAACGCCGTTCTCAAAGAAGCTTGATATCTCCTTCATAACTTCTGGTTTAAGATCGTCCCAGAGCTTATGATAGAACAAAACAGTAAAACCATCAGGTCCTGGCGCTCTATGAGGTCTTATATCCAACAAGGTTTCCTTGATTTCATCTTCTCTGACCATTCTAGTCAAGTCTTGATTCATGTCTGAAGTTGCAGTTTTTTTAAACCCGGAGAAAAGATTGTGTATAAGTCGTTTCTGAAGAATACAAGTTGTGAAAGTAGTTAGTTTCCACCACTGAAATATCCTTCTGACCTCTATAAACAACTCCATCTTCATCCTGTATAGAGCCAATGGTATTCGTTGTTCTTCTTGCTTTAGTTACTGCATGAAAGTCCCTAGTATTACGGTCACCAGCTCTTATCCACATTATTATGCTTTTCTGCTTCCAATAAATTTCCTATTCCAAATAAGCCTGATTCAGATCATCTTTTTTTGCATTCTTCTCTTGACAAGACACATGAGATGACATTGTAGCCATATCAAGTTTGCTTCGTAGAGTACGAATTCTTTCCTCTATATTGCTCTTATTATGTGTCTTATGTGGTGTTTGCACCTACTTAATCTCTAGACTAGTGGGATATTCAAGAATTGAGCATGTCATGTTCCATTCCATCCCTTTTGTACTGATTCAGCAAAGCCATCTTTGCCAATCATTCTGCTGTCAAACCTAAAAATATATTGATACGTTTAGAAATCTCACGTTCTGCACTTATGTAGGTCACAACAAGTTGGTGATCTAATTCTCCTATTTCTAAGAACTCAGATTGAGAGGCAAGGAATTCTTCAAGCCATTTGGGATTAGCCATTGTGCGGTCAAGAAAACATTGAACTAGGAGGGTACCTCTCTATCCAACCCAAGAGAAACGGACTAGGTGGGTACCTTTCTATCTAACCCAAGAGAAACAATTACCTATAGTTTGTAAATCTGTAAAATCACAAACTATCATCATCTGTCTGAAATTCATAAATAAAAGCTTAAGGTTTAGCTCTTACATGAAATTTTAGGCAATCATCTAATAGTTTTATTTTAAAAGGTAAATTAAACATATGTAAAAAAGACAAAAATGTTGCTGACATTTTAATACAATATCTAAGTCTGGACAAAAATGTCACTGAATCCGATCCGTAAAAATTGTTAAAAACCCCAAACTGAAACTGATTAAATATCCTCACAGATTCAATATTTTGGTCTCTAAAGAATCGAAACTGAACCCAATCCGAAACAAAATATTTTAAGTATCCTAATATATCCGAATCAAATTTATATACTTAAAAATATTAGCTAGTTTTAGATTTAATAACCAAAAATGTATTCAAATTTATAAAATATTTGGAAGTTGTCCAAAATATTGAAAATATATACAAATAGCCAAAAATAAATATCTAAAATAGTTAAACAATACTTAAAATACATAAAATACTTAAAACATCTCTTGATTCTTTATCCAAATATTGAAATTATACCAATTTTTATGTTAAGTTTAAGTATTTTGGCATACATAATTCAAATATATATGCTATATATTGTTTCTATGTTTAAGTTTGGAAAAAATAAACTATATATGAAAAACTTATTCATACGGGTAATCAAAATCAAACCGAATCGAACCAAATTTATAAATATCCGAATGGGAATAAAGTATTTAATCCTCAAAATCCATTCAACCGAATCAAAATGAGTATCCAAACATCCACACCTAACAATATCGATAAAAGTAGTGTAAACTTATGAAGTTAAGCTTATTTAATTAGCTCGTGCCTCGTCTCTGTCGGAATCATATATTATTCTCTCTATCTCTCCAGAAAAAGAATAACTGGGTTTATCAAAACAAAAAAGAAAGAAAGAATAATTGGGAAGAATAAAAAAGAAACTAGTCTGTCAAAGTTATTTAGTCTGTGAAAAGAGAGACACTTTTCTTTCTCTTGGATCGTTTCCGTTTCTCATGCACTTCGCAACACTTTCCCAGGGTTTAGTGCTAGTTGATTCTCACTGGTCATGAATCGGAACGGACCCACTAGAGTTAATGCTCCGTAACGTGGAAAACATTTTCTTCTTTACAGAATTTATTTTTCAAACTGTTTCGGTCGGTTGTTTCCTCCATTAGCTTGGTTGGTTTTTGGGTCTCTCTTTTAATAGAGAAAATAATTGAATTCTTTTGCTTTTCTCTTTCTCTATTTTTTTTCATAATCAGACAAACAAACAAAAAAGCTGAAACCTTCCTTAATCGTTCGTCTGTGTTTATAAGTTCTTTTACGGGGTATTTTCGGTATTGATTTTTTCTCAGTTAGTATATTTTTAAAAAGATATTTTGTGAAAATTTTCTCCTTTTTCTCCTTTTTTCAGGTTTTATTATTATTTTTTCTGGGGGTGAAGTTCTGGGCTTGGGGATATAGAGATTTAAGGTTCTGGGTTTATAGAAAAAAGAAAGAAAGGGTTTTGTGTGTGTATAGAACCAAAGGTTAGATTTTTATTTATTTTCTTGAAAAGGCAAAGAAATGGCGGCAAGAGGAGTAGAAACATCAACCGGTGGTGAGATTAGTGAAGAGAGTGATGAGAGAGGAAGCATGTGGGATTTGGACCAGCAACTTGATCAGCCTATGGATGAAGAAGCTGGTCGCCTCAGAAACATGTACAAAGAAAAGGTTTCATTTTTTGGTTTTCTCTGATGAGATTGTTGCTTCCTTCCTGCATTGGTCTTTCGACTGAAGAAAAGTTTCGTTTTTTGTTTTTTGTTTTGTTTTAATTGCAGAAATTCTCAGCGCTTCTGCTTCTGCAGCTTTCATTTCAGAGTCTAGGTGTTGTTTATGGAGACTTAGGAACCTCTCCTCTATATGTTTTCTACAATACATTTCCTCACGGGATCAAAGACCCTGAAGATATCATTGGAGCTCTCTCCCTAATCATTTACTCCCTCACACTCATCCCTCTCCTCAAATACGTTTTCGTTGTATGCAAAGCCAATGACAATGGTCAAGGTGGAACATTTGCTCTCTATTCTTTGCTCTGTAGACACGCAAAAGTGAACACTATCCCCAACCAACACCGTACAGATGAAGAGCTTACAACTTATAGCCGCACTACATTTCATGAACAGTCTTTTGCAGCACAGACCAAAAGATGGTTAGAGAAAAATCCCTCCAGGAAAAACTCTCTACTCATTCTCGGTCTGGTCGGTACCTGCATGGTTATCGGCGACGGGATACTTACTCCTGCTATTTCTGGTAAATGCATCATCCACTTATAACATTTTAACACTCTACAGAGAGAGTATTTTCATTGTCTTTGCAAAAATGTGTTACAGTTCTATCTGCTGCGGGTGGGCTCAGAGTAAACCTGCCTCACATAAACAATGGTGTGGTTGTTGTTGTGGCGGTAGTGATATTAGTGAGCTTGTTTAGTGTACAGCATTATGGAACAGACAGGGTAGGGTGGCTTTTCGCGCCTGTTGTGTTCCTCTGGTTTCTCTTTATAGCAAGTATCGGTATGTACAATGTATGGAAACATGACACGGGTGTTTTAAAAGCTTTCTCCCCTGTTTATATCTATCGGTATTTCAAAAGAGGTGGTCAAGATCGTTGGACTTCTCTTGGAGGCATCATGCTTAGTATCACGGGTAGGCTATCTTCTTATATGATTTACACCCTTCTTTTGTTACTCATTGGTTCTTTGTATAATTCTCTCAGGGATTGAAGCTCTCTTTGCGGATCTATCTCACTTTCCAGTCTCTGCAGTGCAGATTGCCTTCACTGTAATTGTTTTCCCTTGCCTTCTCTTGGCGTATAGCGGACAAGCTGCTTACCTTAGGAAGTATCCACATCATGTTGAAGACGCGTTTTATCAATCCATTCCAAGTTTGTTTCATCTTCTGATCAGTTTCATTTATGTCAATGAATATATCTCTGAACAGTAAGTTAACATGAAAGTTTCTGTTTGTCGCAGAGAGTGTGTACTGGCCAATGTTTGTGATTGCAACCTTTGCTGCAATAGTTGCAAGCCAAGCCACAATATCAGCGACCTTCTCGTTGATCAAGCAAGCTCTCGCTCATGGATGTTTCCCGAGAGTTAAAGTGGTGCATACTTCCCGGAAGTTTCTCGGTCAGATATATGTTCCAGACATCAACTGGATCCTCATGATCCTTTGCATAGCCGTCACTGCTGGATTCAAGAACCAGAACCAGATAGGAAACGCGTACGGGACAGCTGTTGTGATCGTCATGCTCGTGACAACGCTTCTCATGATGCTGATCATGATACTCGTCTGGCGATGCCATTGGGTTCTAGTCCTCTTGTTCACCTTCCTATCACTCGTTGTAGAATGTACTTACTTCTCAGCTGTGCTTTTCAAAGTTAACCAAGGTGGCTGGGTTCCTCTTGTAATCGCTGCTGCTTTTCTCATCATCATGTACGTTTGGCATTACGGAACACTCAAGAGGTATGAGTTTGAAATGCATAGTAAAGTCTCAATGGCTTGGATTCTCGGTCTTGGACCTAGCCTTGGTCTTGTCCGTGTTCCAGGGATTGGTCTTGTTTACACCGAGTTAGCTAGTGGTGTCCCTCATATCTTCTCTCATTTCATCACAAACTTGCCGGCCATTCACTCTGTTGTGGTCTTTGTCTGCGTCAAGAACCTTCCTGTCTACACTGTCCCTGATGAAGAACGGTTCCTTGTGAAAAGAATCGGACCAAAGAGCTTCCACATGTTCCGCTGCGTGGCCAGGTATGGTTACAGAGACTTGCATAAGAAAGACGACAATTTTGAGAAACGGCTCTTTGAAGGCCTCTTCCTCTTCATCCGCCTTGAGTCCATGATGGAAGGCTGCTCTGACTCAGACGATTACAGCATCTGTGAAAGCCAACAGCAACCTCGCAGAGACGGTCTTAAGAACTCGGAGACTTTTGATACATTTGATTCTGTAGAGTCTGTTATAGCACCTACTGTGGGGGTAACCAAGCGGACGAGCCACACGGTGACTGGTTCGAGCCAGATGAGTGGAGGAGGAGACGAGTTGGAGTTTATAAATGGGTGCAGGGACGCAGGAGTGGTGCACATAATGGGGAACACAGTGATTAGAGCAAGGAGGGAAGCGAGGTTCTACAAGAGAATAGCCATCGATTACGTGTATGCGTTTCTTAGGAAGATTTGTAGAGAGAATAGTGCTATCTTCAATGTTCCTCAGGAAAGCCTTTTGAATGTTGGACAGATTTTTTATGTGTAATGGTGTTTTCATGTAAAGTGTTTAGACATGATTTGATAGTATGTTGCTAGAAAATCTGTTTAAAGATAACGATCGTGGTGAATGATCATTTGATATAAAACCAGTGGAGTTTGAGACTTGCACAATGTATTTTCTGCTTTTGGTTTCCTCTCTGACGTACACTGCAAGAAACCCTTTTGGTGCTGATGTTTCTATCATTATTCCTGCTCTGTAGACGACTAAGAAACTTTTTTTGAAGCCAAGAAACCTCTTACCAAAGCCATTTTTGTTTTGTGTAAGCAAGTCTTGATTTAGATGAGACACCTATGTATGATAAGGCGATCAAAGAGATCAGATACAAAGGAAAACAGTGGAATGAACCGGTGAATGCTGAAACCAAAATTGAAGGATAGTTCTGTTGGAACACAGTTTTTGACTAATTTGAAAAGGCTGACTTTTTAGAATTTCTCGGTAGCTTTTCTGGCCAAACCGATAATCGTCGTGGCCGGATTAATATCTCGCTATAGGTAGCTTGTACATCTAGTATGAGAAATAAGCAATGAAGTGGGATACTTGAAATGAAAAAGTCAGTGGAAAATCTGTGAAGTGTTAAAAACACACAAGCATCCCACATCAGGTATGAAACTGTTTTTTTCAGTTGTAAAGATACGTCCACACACATGTCTTTGGTCAAAAAGGATATAGGAGGGAAAGGATGGCTTCCCCGACCCGACGCGGGTCAATAACTTTTGTGGTCTGTGTAGGTAGACCGAAATAAAATAACCAACATACAAAAGATTTCAATAGAAAGTTCTAACATTCTTAGCTAAAGAATCAGAAACCCTATTCTATATCCTAAGAACATAAAAAAACTTGAAATTTGGGAAGCATATCCATAGTGTCATGAGCTTTTCCAATTTTGTTGAGAAATTTGGCCATTCATGGGGATATTTGAGCATCGCAATCATCTCCTAGCAGCCAGTTCCAAAGCTCTGACATGACGAATGTTGAAGCATATTCTCCATTACCCACCGCAGTGCTTCCAGCTTTGAGTGCAAAGCAGACTCCACTCTATTAAAATTACGGAATTTCATTAACTGGCTATTCCCCAAACTATCATTCCAACCACATCCACTGAACTGAGCTGTAGATGTTCAAGAACCATCCACCATACATATATTTCCCAGATTTATGGCCTAGTTTTGAACATCTATGTTTCCTTGAGATGGCGATGCAATCTGCTCATTGCTTGGAACCAAGCTCAACACTCACTCTCTGCATAACGGGATATCTCCAATGGATTTTTATCACTTCCCTTAAACAGCTTATCGTTCCGAGCCTTCTAAATATACCAAATTAGCCAGAGATAAGGATCCATGTCCAGTTCCGGTTCCATTATGTCGTTTTTCCTCTATAAAAGATAGTCCATATTCGCATAAGTGCTCTGAAGTGGAAACAAGGTAGGACTGGTAGGCGTAGATGATAAGGCCCAAACTTGTAATGCGGGTGGACATTGAAAAATTGCATGTGTAACTAATTCTTCTGGTTCCCCACATCGTGGACAGTGATTATCACATCTCATATATCTGTAGTTTAGTGTACTTGTAACAACCACATGACCTCCGATATACTTGCCACACATACGATGGCTACTGACAGTAAGCTTACGAAAGGGCGAGCTCAATCGATAGTAACAGCCTCTCAAGACTCGAGCTACTAGAGAATCTGGGTGTTGGACCAATCTCCATAAATGCTTTGCTAGTAACGACAGGTTAAACTCATGAATCATTCTAAATCCAATCCCTCATTCCTCTCTTGATAAACATAATTTATACCATGTTGTCTAGTGTATTCCTCTTTTTTGGGGTGGGGTGGGGGTTCAAACTCCACCAGAACTGTGCAATGACACTAGCTAAATTATCACAAATCTCCAACGGAAGTAGAAAGCAAGATATTACATAAGTTGGAAGGGCTAGCAGTATCGACTTGATCATAACTTCTTTGCTGCCTTTTGATAGCCACATGCCCGTCCATCCATTTACTCTATTCCTTAGTTTATCCTTTAGAAAAGTAAAGAGCTTGCATTTGGAACCACTGATATCCTCTAGAATTCCTAAGTATGTTCCCATCCCTCCTTCTTTCTGAATCCTAAGTGTGTCTTTAATCTCTTGCCTAACATCCTGTCTGATTCTCTTACCAAAGAGTAAGGAGGATTTATCAAAGTTAATACATTGTCCTGAAGCTTGTGAATATTTACTGACCACTTTCATTACTTCTTCACATTCACGGGGCTCCGCCTTACAAAAGAACATGCTATCATCATAAAAGAGAAGATGAGATACCGAAGGGCACGCACGCGTGATGCGCATCCCTGTTATCTTCCCTTGATTCTCTTCATGATTAAGAAGGCTAACGAGTGCTTCCGTGCATAGAATAAAAATGAAAGGGGACAGAGGATCCCCCTGCCGCAGACCTCTCTCCGGGACAATAGTCCCTCTTGGCTGGCCATTCATAAGAACCTTATATTTGACTGATGTTACAACGCATAATCCATGTTATCCAGATTTCTGAAAAACCCATATTTCTCATGGTAGCCTCAATGAAGGACCACTCCATCCTATCATACGCCTTACTCATGTCTGTTTTAATGGCCATCATATTGTTGTGACCACTTGTTTTAGTTCTTAAGGCATGGAACATCTCCTGAGCAATCATAATGTTGTCATAAATCTGTCTCCCAGCAACAAAGACTGACTGGATTTCTGAGATCATATCTGGTAAAATCTTTTTTAACCTCTGGCATAACACCTTAGAGATTATCTTATAACTAACATTACATAAACTGATGGGAAGTAGCTGGCTCATCTAATTCGGCTTATCTACTTTCGGAATGAGAAATATGTTGGTATCATTTATGCCAGAAGGCAACATGCCTTCAAACAAGAATTAATTAACCATAAGAATTAGATCGTCCTTTACAATATACCTAAATTTCTGGTAGAATAGCGCATTCATTTCATCTGGTCCTGGGGTTTTCTCTGGATGTATTGCAAAAAGAGCCAATTTGACCTCCCATTCAGTGACCAGACCTGTGAGATTATCATTGTCTTCTGATGTAGTGGTTGTAGTAACCTCAGATAATGCTTCCTCTATGTCCTCGGGATTTGATGATTGAAAAAAATATGTCTAAAATAACTTGTAGCAATGGCTACAAGTCCTTCCTCATCCTGGACAACATTCCCATCTTCATCTAGTAATTGTGTAATCTTGTTCCTCTCTCTTCTCTGCTTTGTGAGGGCGTGAAAGAATTTTGTATTCCTATCTCCTTCCCGTAACCAAAAAATCCTACACTTCTGCTTCCAAAACATCTATTTCGCCTTAAGAGCGTCAAAAAGTTCCTTTAAAGCTGCCCCAATCTCTTCAGTAGTGGTATCGTCGTTTGAAGATAATTGATATACCTTTTCCTTTAACTCCTCCACACTTCTCTCGGAATTCAGATGATGTTGTCTCTTCCAGTCGCATAAGGCTCACCGGCAACTTACAATATGCTCTATAATGCTTTCATCTGGTGGAAGATCTGGTGATTTCCACCCCTCAAGTATGACTTGCCTTAGCTCCTCATTGTCCAGCCATCTCTTATCAAATTTGAAATTCTCTTATCTCCTCGCTTGCTTTTTCAGAATGTCAGCTAAGATCAAACGATGATCCGATCCCCAAAGCCTCATATACTTCACCTTAAAGTGAGGGAACTTTTCATGCCAGCCTTCATTCCCAACAGCTCTATCAAGGCAGCATCTTACCGTAAATCTCCCTGCTCATTTCCCTACCCAGGATAGCATGTTCCCAGTAAAAAGAAAATCCAGCATACCACAGTCACTCAACATTTGACTGAAGGGTAGAAATGAGCTGTTTGGGCGTTGTCTGCCTCCTTCCTTCTCCTTAGGACAGTAATTTCATTAAAGTCACATATCATAAACCAAGGTCTATTTCTTGTTGTTGAGAAACGTGTAAGACGTTTCCATACTAATTCTCTTAGTTCCAGTACATGATCCCCAAAATAAACGTCATATAGACTTTTATTCCATCAATGACTGCCTCATTGTCAATCATTCTGTTATTCGAAAATAAAACATTAACTTGAAATTCATCCATAAAAAATAAAGCTAAACCTCCCCTGAGACCAAGTGGCTCAGCGGTAAACAAACGATCAAATCGTAAGTCAGTCTGAATGTCTTGCAACAGCAGCCTCCAATTCTTCGTCTCATAAAGAAACATGAATCATGGGCGGTGCTTCTGATACATCTCCGTTTCATTGCCACAGCTTTATGCGGCTGCGTCTATTCATTTGGTTATTGTTCGTTTTGCAGACGTAGGCGCAGACAACAGACTCAGCCGCAGCCGCAGAGTTTTGTTTGTTTCGTAGACGCAGGACATTGGTGTAGATGCTGGACGCAAACGCATGAAGATGATTTATGTTGTACTTTTGGCAGACAATGCGATTATTTTCATTTAATTCATATTTTAAACTTAAAAATTTGTAAAATTGTATTTTAAATAAATAAAATGTAGTTTAATTTTGTTAAATTTTATTTTAATTAAATAAAATGCATTTAAATATATTTTACTAAAATATACTAATTTAACTAACATTTTTATCATAAATATTATAAATAAAACAAAGGCTTAAACCACAAAGTCTTAAACCAAAAATAATATATCAAAATATTTAATAAAAACAAAAGCTAAATAATACATCAAATCTTAAATATATAAAACAAAGTCTTAAATCAAATCTTTAACTATAATATTTAATACGGCAAACGACCTCTACCACATTCATTTGTGATGTTCTTACGCAATTCTTCCATCACTACATCACGAGTCGGCTCATATACAATACAAGCTTCTTCTCCTTCTTCTTTATCACCATCACTTTGTCATCGTACAAAATCATGATCTTCCCCATGTGAATCACGTATGAAGTTGTGTAGTGCCATCGTCGATGTTACCATCTTAATCCATTTGACCAGACCATACTTTGGATGCTTACAATCCAAACACCTCCATTTTTCTTTCCATACTCCAAATGTCCTCTCAATCACTGATCGCAGACCTGAATGATTTCGGTTGAAGAACTCTCTTGCACTAACTGGTGGTCCTCCTCTAGAAAACAGACCAAGATGATATCTCATACTAGGATGCGGACCAAGATAACCTGTTCTGGTGGGATATTCGTAGTCAACTAGATAATACTTTCCTGGAGGAAGATGTGGGAAAGAAGCCTCATTCTTCCACAATGAGTCAACATCTTTGTATCATGTGCTCTACCAGGTACACCAAGATATGCATATATGAACTTCATATCAAAGTTACATATAGTAAGAACGTTCATTGTAGGATCTTGATTTCTGCATCTATATGCTTCTGCCTTTTCACTTGGAGGACGAACCGGGACATGAGTTCCATCAAGTGCTCCAATACAATCTCTGAAGTGAGGCCAATACAGATCATCATTCCTCAAAACATGATTTACTCTTGCAATTCACCTTCTTGTGGTTTTAGTGTATCCTTTGCAAACTTGAGAAGAGCACTCAAAACATTCTCAAGCCTCCTTTTAACCATATCATTTTCCCATTGATATCTTTGACCTATATCCCGCACCGTCTTATGCTGACCAACCATATCAAGAAACATTGCAACAGATTCCTCAATGTAGACATTGTGAGACTTGTAATCCATATCGCTCAACTAGCATCTTACACAAAGCTTGAAAAGTTGTTTTTGATTCATTCGAAGAATGTCATAACATTGTTGATCTGATTCATACATTAGTTTTTGAACATGACGCCATCCTGCTCCTTGATCTGTTATATGACTCAATCTCCCAGTAGTAACCATATCAAACGAACCAAGTTCATCATCATAATCACCATCCTTATCTTCCAGTATCCATCTTATAAACATTTACAAAGCCATCAAAAATAAATTGTTAATTAAACAAACATTTAGCCATCAAAAAGAGATAGTTAATTAAGCCATCAAACAAACATTTAATGGTTCTTACAAATTAAAAAAAAAATCATGCTTGTCTGTGAAAGACATTTAGATTCAAGTGAAATGACGTACGTATACATCTACAGGGTCAAATTATATTGTAAGTCAAATTTAGCAATAAACACAAATAAATAAAGAAATATGTACAAAGTAAGAATATGTACAAGCTACTTATCATCAACTACATCTACTCACACACAACGATCAAAAGGCAGAGTTCATGAGACTGTAATACACGTGATTTCTTAAACACTAAGTTCCATATATATATAAAAGCAGAGTTTCATCCAATACAAAGATCACTGATGCAAACAAGATAACAAAGGACTCATAACACCAACAAGATTCTAATCTAACAAATTCCATCACAAAAGCAATACCAAAAGATCACAAATAGACTAGTCCTAAGCTTTCTCGCCATTAAGACCAAATTAACTAACTAGTAATTATCACGTTTTATCTTGGTCCTAAGCTCCAGAAACTTTGTCTTAGCTTCATATGTTTTCATTGTTATAAAACCCCTTTTGCTCCTTTCACTATCTATAAGAAGTTGAACTTCTGCTCCATATAAGCAAGACCATTCTCTCACTGCATGCAATGCATTCAGTATCAGCAACACATTCTCAACACTAAAGGCCTCACGCTTCAGCATCCGTTCCGCTATCCTATTCTTCACCTCAAGAGCTGCAGTCTGTTTATCACAAGATTCCACAACCATATATTTCTCTTTACGCTTTCTTTTTGCTCTTGAACTTCCAGAATGAGTCGGAGCTGTTAGTTGAGTTTGGCACTGGGTTTCTCTCAGAGCCGCTGGCTGAATTTCCGTCTCCAAGGCTTGAGTGTCTGCTGCTGGCTGAGAATCAGCCTCATCACCATCATCTGCACCCACTCTAGAACTCAAACTTACTTCTTCATGTTGAACGCTTCATCCTTCTGCTCCAGTTACTATTAGACCACAAAACTCTTCTTCAAACAGATCCATATTAAATTCCTCTTTCCATATAGCTCTTCTAATCCCAGGATACTCCTATAAATAGAAAAAAAAATACAGAAGTGAGTAATGCTTATACGAAGTTCAACATATTAGATTTCAAAATATACATAAGTGAGTAATGTTTATACGAAGTTCAACATATTAGATTTCAAAATATACAGAAGTGAAAACATGGCTAATGCTCAACATATTATATTTCAAAAATTAATTCAGAAGTTTGTAGTGCTTATACGAAGTCGTCAATAACAGTCATATGTACATTCTCATAAATAAACTAAACCTACATTCTTCAAATTAAGCGAGCAACTATATATATGCATGACATAAAACAATATGATTACTTACAAAATCACAGAATAGAGTTAAGGGAAACTGACATTTTCACGTTCACTCCAACAATCATCAGACATATAATTCTTCCCAAGTCATCAAAACCAAGCCATGTCCTATTCTTAGTCAAATTCCTAAACTTGGTGTATTTCTTCCTACTAGTGTCGTATTTATTCTTGAAAGGCGACCAAGTTTCATATCCTTTCTTAAACCTCTCTTCAAACACCTCTATGATGTTCTGTTTCCTTATTTTATTCATTGACGTCATCCTATTTCATTTTCTTCTCTCTTCCGCACAAAAAAATAATAGTTTCTTCGGGAGGCCAATTCTAAAGCAAACAAAATCATACATATAAACTCAAGTTCCATAAAAACCAAGATCACTAATGCAAATAAGATCAGACATATAAACTTAAGTTCCATATAAACCAAGATCACTAATGAAAACAAGATCAGACATATAAACTTACATCTTTTGTCATGGGTCTCGAGATAGTGAACTTGAGAGTGTGAGCTTGAGACAAGAGAGCCTGCAAAAAAAGACAGAAAGAATAACCTCAAGAGCTTGATACACATGTGTAATATGTATGTTTCGTATCTTATATAAGAGAATCTTTAATCTTAAAATGAATCATCAACATATGTACACAAACACCAACATATAGTATTCTAAGAAAGTTTCATACAGATGCATATTCACACATCTATTATATCTTTTAAAAATAGAAGATAAAACTCATAAACTACTAAGCTACAAGCGTTGTCACTAAGAACATAACCAGAAGATAAAACTCTATCTAAACATGCTCTAGCCTCGTCAAACCTCTTTAACTTAACCAAACAAAGAACCATTGAATCATACCTCGAGAGAGATCTTGAGAGGATCTGAGCTTCAGAGGGTCTGGCTTTGAGGAGGAACAAAAACCCAACACGTGCTGTAAGAAACAAATAAAGAACTAAAAATATAAAGCTTCCAGCCTTTGTGACAAAAACCCATTAAAATTATCAGCTCAATTAGCCACACATCCACGCAAGTAAGAAGTAATCAAGCCTAAGATGAACAACAGAGGAGCTTGAGAGACAGATGAACCTTACCAGAGAGTGCGAGACAGACAAAGCTTGGGAGAGCCAAAAATGCTATGGAGAAGCCTGAGAGATCCTGAGACAAAGATTACGACATTTTTCACACAAATAAATCACAGAACATAAGAAAAAGAAGGTTTGTAACTTAGAGAGGAACCTTACGAGAGAGTGAGAGACAGACGAAGCTTGGGAGAGATGGAGATGGAGAGATGGAGAACAGTACGGATTCACGATGAGAGAGCTCGAGACGAGAGAGTTTGAGATACGTCGGAGAAGAGATCAAGAGAGGGGTCGGAGATGGGTTTGCAGCGGAGTAGAGAGAGAGAGCTCGTGGTGATGGTGGTCTATGAATCGAAAGATGGTGGTCTCTGAGAAAGCTCGTGGAGAGAGATGATGCGGCTGCGTAAAATGAGAAAAGAGAGAGATGCAGCTGCGCCAATTAGGATTAGGTATTTCATGTAAATACTAAAACATATTAAGGGCAAAAATGTAAATTGCCTTTCTGCCCACGGCTTTACTCTCGCGACGGCTTGTTTTATCAGCGTCAGCCGTAGGACCCGGCGTCAACCGCAGCTACCTGCGTCCACCAAACAAACATTCATAAACTGCACGATTTTTTAAAAAGGTTGCCGCAGACGCAGATAGTTGTGGCAACCAAACGAACACGGCTAATATCATATTTATGTTATAAGGGATGCCTTGCATCATGACTATGTAATTTCTGAGGAAATAAAAAAGAAAACATACAGAAGGGCAAAAGAAGGCAAGGTGTAGATGAATAATGTGGGCCTATGGGGCCTTACAAATATAAAGTGCAGAATATTACCATTTAACGGTTGAAACTAAAAGGAAAGGAGGCTTCATCATCCATCCCATCCATTAAGCGTATAAGATAATCTCTCTCCATTAGGCTATAATGATAATCAGAGCCAAACGCTAATACGGCGTCGTATTAGCAAACGGGTGGGGATTCGTCTACACATTCTCTTCCTTCGTCCTAATTTGGAAGAAGGAAGAAAAAACGCAGAGCTGCCACGCCGCCTTGGATAAAGCCGCTTCCTCTGCTGCGTTGCCGAGTTCGATTCCTGGGGAAGCCGATCTCAGGGAGGCTCTTTTCCCCAAGGAGTCTCTCCATCTCTCCGATGTCGAAAAGGTGATTGCTTTATCCATTTTCTTTTCTTGCTTCTTAATGCTTAAATTTCAGGATTGATTCTTTTCTCTTTTTCATAATGATTTTGGAATGATGAATGGTTTCATCTCTTCTTGAACGTGTTTTATTCTCTTATCACTCCTTTTCTGTATGTTTTGTCTCTCTCTTAGGATCCTTTGTAAGTTCTTTGCTCACGGTGCTTGCTTAAAAGGTGACAACTGTGAATTCTCTCATGACTGGAAGGATCCTACAAATAATGTAACCTTCCTTTTTCTTATTGTATATACTGAACGAACCAACCACCATTCATTCATTCACTAACTTTGTATCAACAGGTTTGCACCTATTACCAGAGAGGTCTCTGCTCTTACGGAAGCCGATGCAGGTACGAACATGTCAAACTCAAACCTTCTCGTCCTCCTGCTTCATCTTCCTCCGCCCTGCCTCGTCCCACCTTCCTCGCTTCAGAAACGGATTTGAGCCCACTTCCCTCATCATCATCACCAGCTTGGACTTTGGATTCCTTTGACCACGAGGTCAACACCAACACCTTCAACTCCTCTACATCCAATCCACAAGACCAACCCATTTGCTCATACGCCGCAGCCGGTGACTGCCCACGTGGCGATCAATGCCCTCACATCCATGGAGACCTTTGCCCAACTTGTGGCAAACGTTGCCTGCATCCTTTCAGGCCTGGTGAGAGGGAGGAGCACAAGATTGCATGTGAGAAAAAGAAAAAGCAGCTCGAAGCGCTCAAACTTAGCCAGGAGGTGGAGTGTTGTGTCTGTCTGGAACGTGTTCTGTCTAAGCCAACTCCAGCTGAACGCAAGTTTGGGCTGCTCACTGAGTGTGATCATGCTTTCTGCATTGGTTGCATCAGGAATTGGCGTAGCAGTTCTCCTTCCACCGGTATGGATGTCAACAGCACGCTGAGGGCTTGCCCCATCTGCCGCAAGTTGTCGTATTTTGTTGTTCCTAGTGTCATCTGGTTCTCAGCTCCTGAGGACAAAAACGAAATCATGGACAACTACAGGGAAAAGCTCAGGTATCGTTTTACTTGTTTTATGAACGTTACCAAGATCACTAGTAACTGGCAAAGGCTTTTCATTCTGGTGTTTTTGGTTCTATCTTTATCTTCATATGTATGCTTGTATAAGTCAAATTTATTGGATGTTTCTTCGGTTTATGTGAATGCAATACTTTTTATGTCTACCAGGTCAATTGATTGTAAGCACTTCAATTTCGGAGATGGGAATTGTCCGTTCGGAACAAGTTGCTTCTACAAGGTTTTTTTTAATGCAGTCTGTGTTAAAACTTTATTTATCTCATGCATGCTCGAGGTGACATCATTTATTATACCTTGCTGTGTTTTCCATGGTAGTTTAGGATGCTAAGTTGGACCAGTTTTGTTTCTTATTGTCTTTGAAGAGTGATTTCATTCACAAACATTCTCTGGTATCTGTTTGAATCAACTATAATTGACGGCCTCTTGGAAACTCAGGAGTCTACATCATTGTTATTTTACATTTTGCATTTATGTTGTCAATATCTTATCGCTAAGATGTTCAAAATCTAGGGTAACTTAATACCTTGTCCGATAACGTTAGCCTTGAAGCTTTATAATGATCCTAGAGTCCACAATTAGTTTGCACAGAGGTTACATGTCTTTATGGGAGGAAGTGTAGGAAATCTATTAATGTGGTATTAGCATGAATCGTTAGTGAAGATAAAACAATGTGTCAAGAGTTTTTTTCTTCTGAAATGAGGAAGGGTGGGTTTGCAGAATTTGCAAACAAGTTAAGTCCTTAGAAAGTTTGATTAGACCTTATTGGATGTTGTTGTGTTCCAGCACACTGTGAAGTCAGGGTCATATGCATGGAAATACCACAGGCCACCTCCAAGGCGTCCAAGGCCATCTGGATCTAACTTCTCAGACATGGATACATTTTTTAATATGATGGGGAACATAATGTCAGAAGGAGAATATGATCCTTTTGGATTTGAAGATTCAGACGATGACGAACTGACCACAACGGATATGATGATGTTACTGATGAACTTGGATATGGAATCCGATGAGAATATCTATTAGCTACACATTTAAGTAACCATTAAAGTGAGAGTCTTAGGTCATATTATCATAATATAAATATGGTTACTGGTATGGTATAGATCGTGATAGGCCTTTTGTCATTTGGGTGGATTAGGATTTTATGATTTTTTGCCTTTTTGGAATGTAATATTTGATATCCTATGAACTTTTGATAGTCAAAGGGGTGGGTGTGTGATTGCAGCATGCGTTTCACGATGGTCGTTTGGAGGAAGTGGTTCTGCGGCATCTGGATGCAGAAGATGGGCAGACTGTGATAGCAAAAGATATAAGGTATTCGTTGGTGTCCTGTAACTTGTACCACCACTCAAGTCAATCACTTTTCAACTCTAACGCTTCTGTGTTATTTTGTCTGATATAGGTTGTCTGACTTTCTTGAGAATATGCATATATAAACGAGGACTCTTTTGGCACAGTAAAGTACAAGGCAAAGATGTTATGATGAACTCTTTTTGTGGTTTTGTGGTCATTCATTGCTATTGACAGATTTGAGTTTGAAGATCTTATCTTAGACACCAATGCTTTGTGACCTGTGATAAGTCCTGAATCATTTTTACCTTTTTTTTTTATTTTTAACAATTGTTACAACTTCAAATCAGAGTTTAGCCCTGGGCAAAATAATTGGTTTGGATTAGTTTTGATTGTTGACTATATATCCATAAATCCTGCATTTTCAGACTCATTGTTATAGGTTCTGATTCCTAACCTGACAATTGATGCCTGACAAATGAATACTTCTTTAGGCATCTCAAATTAGATTTTTTCACTCAAAAATAAATAAAAAATTCCGTTAAAAAATAATAACTTTCAAAACCAAAAAAAACATTTTAATCTCCAACATTTAAAAATTATCCATTTTAAATCACAATTTTGTTGACCAAACTAGTTTAGATACATAAAAGATCAACTGTTTAGTATATTTAAGGGAAAACTTACTAAAATGCCGATTGAAACACAGTTTTTACAACGGAAAGAAACAAGCATTAGAAGCAAGCTATACATATGCAAGAGAGAAGTTAAAGCAAGGTCAAAGCCGCCTCTAGAATAACTCTAATTAATAGTGTTATTACTAAAATGACTCATATTTTTCAGAATTATTATAAAGTTTTTCTGATCGAAATTGCCCCTAGCTATAGTTATACCAAGAAAAAATAATTACCAAAGTGTCCTTCAAATTAGGTCGTCGGCAGGTTTATTTTTCGGAAAAATAAATCTATCACACATTAAGTCTGTTTTCTAAATTGGATAAGAAAATATAATCTATCAAAAAATTGGTGGCAGATTTTTTTTAAAACGTTAGATTTCTTCCTACGGTAGACTTATTTGTTCGATTTGTACGGAAAACCGATTTTTAAAATATATATGTCAAATGACACAACAATTTTGTTATAAATGATAAATTTTTGCGATTGACTTAATTTTTTATGGCAGATATACATAACCGATTTACATATGCAGTAAACTTGTTGACTTACGAGGTGACAGACTTTTTAGTTTATGAAATGGCAGATTTGTTAAGTTAATTATGGGTTTTAGTAAACCAAACTAAATTATTTCAGATTTAAACTTGGTTTACTGTAATTCCGAGTTTGATTTATTTCTAGTGGATTAAGATCACAAGCCTGTTATTATTATTCTTTAAATTTAAAACCAATTGGAAACAAAGATTGAACCAAGAAAATTTGCTTAACATATTTAACCGAAAACAGTGAATGTAAATAACAAAGACTGAAAACAACACACAAGTCCACATATCAGCTATTCCTCTTGTCTCGACATATTTGTTCAGGTTAAGTAAGAGGCTTTGGTTAGGGATTATAAATTGCTGTCTCTTGTTCAGTTTTGTCTAGTACTTTCAGGCTATCTATAGCTAGAAGCTTAGACTAATTCACCTAGGTTCTTTGAGTTTTTTTTAAACTTTTTGTAACCTCTTAGAATCTGAATGGCTGTTATAGCAGACCTTGGTTTCAATTCATCTTGAAACCGAACCTTCATTCTTTTTGAAGTAATGAAATTTACAATTTAGGAAAGAAAAAAAAGAGGTTTTATTAATTCTTGTTGGCGATGAAAAGTCCCCACTTCTGCTCACCCGAAGCACTTGTTTCCAGCTTCGTCTTCCATCCTCCAACAATGTCCTCGTAGTCCTCTTTCGTTTATGTTATAACGTAAAAAACTCATTAAAAGAAATGATTCCCTTTTAATGGTATTGATGCGAATACATATTTTGCTGATAGACCGGAATATATACGAATCCTTCCAATATTAGTATACATACCACTATACCAGCCTATTATGTAGCCCAATTTTTTTGATCCCATGCAGAGATAGACACCCATTTCAGCATCTACTCTATTAAAACAGAGTCATGTTTTTTATCTACTTAAAAGGTTTTCATTTAAATTTGAACTAATTAACAGTTCATTAGAAAATTATAACATTCTTAATTATTTTCTTATACAATACACTATAACTCCATTTAAGCAAATATATAGAATATTCCACTTCTGTTTAAATATAATATAACATCCGTAAAATAACCATTAATATATCTACATAGATATTCGACTTAACAAGCATTTTAATAGGAGTAATGATCTCCATTCCAACTCTAACTTTGTTTTTGAATCTTCAACTTATAATTCTTTATAATACATTACAGTTCATATAGATCTTTGTATAGTATGTATTCACGAGAATGAAGTGTTTCTTCTCCTCACGTTTTCATTAATGAATCCTATGATAAAAAAGATAATAATTATTAATTTGAATCTCTGGAGATAAGTACTTGAATTCGACCGAAAATTATTAATTTGTGGATGACTGAATTCATAAAATTTATAATTGATGCATATTTGAAAACTTTAAATTATTACTTCATATAAAATATGACATTGGCGTTTGAATACCTTTTTAGGTTTTTCTGGGTTGGTTCGGATTTATTCGAATTTCGGATTTCCGAGGTTAAATCAACCATATTCGAATATTTATAAATTTTGGTTCAGATTTGGTTTGGATTTTGCGGGTTAGATCGGGATTGGATAATATTTTTAGATTATTTAAAAAACATTATATATATCTAAAATGTCTCAAAATCTAAAAATAAAATAATATAATACATTAGTTTGAATATTGTATGCAAAATACCAGAACTTAACATATAAATTGGTTTGGTATGAATATTTAGATAGAGAATCACAAGATATTTCAAGTATATTTGGTGGTTTGAGTATATTATTTAGCTATTTTATACATTTACATTTGAAATTTTTTTAATTGGATATTTTTTATATATTTAATCTAAAAATAATTATATATTTAACTATATAAATCTATTTTAGATACATTCAGATACCCAAAATACTTCAGCTCGGATGAAGTTCAATTTCGGTTTTAGATACCAAAATTTTAGACCCACTCAGATATTTAACCAATTTCAGTTTGGGTTTGGTAGTATTTTTCGAATTGAATTCGATGCGGTTCTTTGGATTCTGTTTTTTTAGCCCAATCCTACTTGCAAGCATTAACATATATTGTTTCAAATGAGAAAACTAATGACTAACTTGAATTTTTGTATTAGCATTAAACACGCATCTTTCACAACAAACAACAAATTGATAAAATATCAATTTCTAAACAAAAAGTGTTAACACTTTTAATTGTGTTCTATTTAAATTTAAACATTTAGATTGGTTTTCAAAATAATGTCTATATAATAAAATATTTCTGCGCTTAAGCGCGGATAAATATCTAGTTTTTTTATTTATGTATAAACATAATAGGATTTTTATGTGAGATAATGTCGAGGCTATATGTAAAATTAACAAACGAACTAGAAAAGAATGATGATGATATTTGCTATAATTACACTTTTCGTCTTTATTCATATGCCATTTTTATTTTATCAATGTTTAAGTAAAAACTTTATTTATTTGTAATTTAAAGGCACGTAGATCACAAAATCTTAAGTTTAAATTTATTATGTTTTATACTGTCTCATTTTATGGTTTATGTAGAACTTATAACATTAACAAAGACCTAATTATCTAAAGCATCTTATAAAAAAAAGACCTAATTATCTATCTCAAGTACAATAGTATGTATGACTCGTGTAATATTCTTATTTTATGCAGTATACTACTTTATTTATTGATGTAATAATTAATATAATATTTAGTTTAGTGACGTATATGGACAATCATTACGAGATAAAATGAAATTACACATACAATGGAATGGAATGAAATTCTAGAAATTGTTTTGACAATTTTGAAATGGTTATTGGTTTTATTTAAAATATTAACTAGTTATATTCTTTATTATATATCTGGTCATATATAAATAATATATCTTTATCGTAAAAATGGCCTTCTTATACGAATAATTAAATTATCTATTTCTTCTCAAATGTCAAACGAGACACATGCTGAAGCAGAACCAGACGATTATGTAGTTACTAGATTATGACCCGCCCTCTCAGAGGGCGGGTATATTTTTTGTTTTACATATTTTTTAGATATTTAATTTTTATATTTGTCTCTTTCTTTTTAACCATTTTGTGTTATTATTTTTAATTATATTTGTGTTTTTAATCATATTTTTGTATTTTTTTTTAAATCATACTAAATGTTTTGATAATTGTATTGAATTAGTGATGTTAATAACTATACATTTGTGCTATAATTATTTCACACTTAAATTTAATAAAAATTACTAAGAATTATATGTGTGTTTAATATACAGTTAATTTAATATAATTTTTTGTGACTATATTAAATATATCAAATTGCATAACTATACACTTGTGTCATATGAATTTCAGAAATTAATTTTGAACTTTATTCCTAAATTATGCAGCATATTATATTTTTAGTAATTATTTAGTTATAACAATTGTAATAGTTGACAAAATAATTTATGTAGTTTTTTTAAAATATATAAATTTCACAAAAAATTGTACGTAGGTTTCGTATAAAAATATATAACAATTTAACGTAAAAAAAGATAGAAAGATAACAAATTAGGTTAAATAATATATAAGAAGAAAGATAACTAACTATACTATTAAAATATATTATTTAAATATTAAATTCTAATTATTCAAATATACTAAAATAATATTTATTAACCGAATTGCTTGGATACATTTTATCTAAGATCTTAAAATTATTTAATTTACCTGATATTTTTATCCCAATAATCCGATATATATACTGAAAAACCTGAATTATTCTATATTTTTACATACATTATGCAAAATTATTCATAAAAGTGAACTGAAACTAATGTTTTGAGAACTGGAGTGGACATCAACTCATTGTTTTTACTGGGTGACTGGTCAAACGGGTTCAACCGAGATTTAAAAAAATTATATATTTTTGTGATATATATATATATATGTATATGTATTTAAAGATATGATAAAAAAAATTAAAATACTTAGTTTTAATATAATGTAACCCTTAAAATATATATTTTAAATTTAAATTATAAATATGAACAGAAATAATGTAAATGACCAAAATTATTTATGTAAAGTTATTTCTGTAAATGATATAGAAAATATAGAAAGTGTGTGTAATGAAAACAAAATATTTCTGAGTGAGGAAAGATAATGATTTTGGTTTCCTATTACACACGACTAAAATCAGGAACTAATCTCACGAAATGCATTTACAGTAACTATTAAGAATCAAAACTAATCGATTATGCTTGGAATTGGTTGAACCCGGTTTTTGTAATTAATAAATTTGGGAATATATATTATTAAATTTCGGTGGCCTAATGGCAAATGTTGTTGGTTGTGTCGTTTAGTTCTCGGGTTTTATACGACAAAGGCTCGTATTGCGTTTTTGTTTAATTTTCTCTTTTAATCAGTGGCATAGTTGTAAATTTTTCATCATCTTCCCCAGAATCTTTTTTAGGGTTTCGACTCTGTAAATCTATATTAATGGCGGCCATCAACTATTTTTCTGTAAATTATCAAATTCTTGTGTGATTACGCATTAGTTATGTCTCAAATACATCGATCTGCCATAAGACATCAGTTTTAAACATTCAAAACTCAAAAAAAAAATTGCGATATCTGATTTGTTCGCCGCCTATGTTGAAATCAAGACGTCCAAGCACCACCCAACGTCTCGCAGGCACTTAATCGGATGCCTTATCCGCATTTTCGAACAGGGCTTTTGTGTTAATTTTTGTAGTCTCAGACCAGTTAGTGGAATAAAGGAAAGCATCTACAAAGTGATTTCAGAAAATCTAGATCGATTGTAGTTTGTACTCTCTCTATTTGTGTCTGAGTTCTGTATTTGTTTTGTTACTGAGAAATTAATTGATGATCTTAAAAAGCGTTTTCAAAAAGAAAGTGATGATGACTATTTTTGGTAGAGAAAATTATAACGTAATTAGTGTTTTGAAATAATTAGATGCAGTTATATAAAATTAGTTTTTTTAGTTGGACCAAACAAATATCAACCGGTCATGCCCTTCAAAGGGCGGGTATATTTTTGTTAAAAAAATTTTTGTACGAAATTTAATTTTCATTTTTGTGGTTTTTTGATAATCATTTTTTTGTGTTTTTTTTGTAATTTTATTTGTGTATAATATTTTAAAAAAATATTAGGAAGATTGCATAACTATATCTTTGTGCCATAGACATATTACACATTTATTTGAACTTTATTTCATAATGGTTATTGTTTTTGTATAAACAAAGTAGAGTTAACATTTTATTTAGTAATCAGATAGTATATAAATATATGTAATTATATATTTTTCATTAAATTTTATATAGAATGATTTATTAAATGTTATTATTACACATAATAATTTGTCATACAATTTAAAATGTGTTTGTAGATTTAAATTCGATGCAAATGTAAAAGTCAACTTTAGTTTTTAAAATCCAATTCTATTTTATTTAAAAATTGTAACTAATGGCCCAAATGGTAAATAAAAATCTAAAATGAAAGACAGAAATTTTGGGCTGTCGACTGATTTCTCTCGAAACATCAGAAAAAGATTTATTTCTCCATTATCACCCAAAGGTTGTTGTCTCAAAAAGGAGTAAGGAAAATAAAACAATATATATATATATATATATATATATATATATATATATCGTACATTTTTATTGCAATATTAGTATCCCTTAAAAATAGGACTTTAGTGGTTATGGATAGTTGATTATAGATTAAGTTATGCAGTTTTTTTTGTTGCAGTTATATTATACTGTATACTTTGTGCAGTTATATTTAGATGTTTTTTTTTGTTGGACTACACCTATATCAACTGGTCATGCTGCAAAATTAATAGTATGGATATCAGTTTATAAACAGTTATAATTTCCTAGCGTATCTATTTGAATCAAATGGTTATTGGAATCAAATTAAAGTTTTATGTTTCGTATATTTAAATAACGAGGGTAAAAGTATACTTAACGATGGCAATAACACGATATCGCAGAAGCTGTAAATTAGAACCAAGTTCTTTCCCGCTGCTACGATGAAGACCATGACCATAATGAGACGCATGCGCCATCTCCTCGTCAGGAATCTCAGCGGATATCACATCAGCACATGGGTCCCTCCTACCGGACTTACTGAAGAGGCTAGTGGTAATAGAGTCAACCATGAGTATGAACACTGCCGAGATCAAGGCGACAAAACCGGTGAAAGGAAACTTGTGCCAGGGGTTATCGTTAAGACAATGAGACGAGACTCGAGAGCATTTCAAGGAATCAGGAAAAACATGGATGAAACCAGTGGCGAGGATGATTCCTGAAGCGAAAGATTTGACGATGAGGAAGATAGATTTCTCGGGTTGGAAAGCAGAAACTGAACGAGCGAATAACGGTAGGCAAACACCGATAAAGCTGGTGATGAGGATTGTGAAGACTGCTATGAGTTTGAGATTAAATGCTCTGTTTTTGTCGGTACATGTGTTGTCATAATCGGGTTTGCATTCTTCATCGGATTGAGAAAGAGCTCGAGGGAAATGGGAGATGGAGAGGAGGAGGAAGATGGTAATGGTGGAAGAGAATATGACATTAGCTTTAGCCATCATCTTTCTCGTTGTTTGTGTGGAGGTTATTGAGTTTGGAATACTAGGTTGTGTTTTGTTTTATACAAGACAAGAAGGATTCTCTCAATCAAAATAAGTGTCGGCATTTCGTACTAATTAGTGTCGACATGTTTTGTTAACGAATTATCGTTGATGTTGAAAAGACCAACTGTGGATATTAGTAAATAACAAGAATTTAGAGATTGGATTATGATGATTTTTCGATTTTTAAAACCCTGTCTTACCAGAAGTGAATAACAACAAGCTGTAATATTTTAAAATCTAATTCACACAAATCATGCAAGAATACTAAAGAAAGCTAAAACATGAGAGATGCTTTTTTTTTGTTTTTATGAAACGAAAATAACTAAATAGCAAAAAACAATGTAAAGATCGAAAAGAGAAAAACACTATGGATAGTTAGGACAACTAATTGAACATGAAATTTATTAGGGAAAATTGCCAAATATGACTCAAAACTTGATTTGAAATGCAAAAGTAAACCCAAACTTGAATCAAATGCAAAAGTAACTTAAAAGGCTGTTGAAATTACAACCAATCCTTGTGAACAAACAAAAAAAGAGTTTTTTTTTTACGTTTTTAGCCCTCGCAAGTCGTCTGGGACAGTTTTTCTTAAAAATAATTTAAAAATTGTGTAATAAATATTTTGATAAATGAAAAATTGGAATTATGTAATTAACATATGTCTTAAGAGATATAAATTAATATATAACAAAAGTCAGTTGTTTTCAGCATAGATGAGTGAAAGTAGT